ATAGTAGATGCACAGTTGTTTAATTATAAAATTCCAGGTGAAAAACGGGCTCGAATGTTTACTAAACCCCGCGCCGACGACATATTCGACGTTACGGGACTTGATAATGTAATGTTTTATCCAAACCACAGGTTGGGCGCAGAGGCGAATTGAAATTTACTTTTAATTACCTACTTACATCTGTCTATTGATTACATATTATGTTAGCCGCCTTTTTCATTCGATGATCAAGAGCATATTTTTAATTAAACTCTGAGATGCGCAGTGTAAATTTTTCAAGTGGGCATGGCACGGATAGCCAAAACCGATACTACGAGGAAATGTTAGAAAATCTCACAGAGTCTAGAATCCAATGTGATGAACACTATAAATTACAGGTTTATTTCAATGATGATGCATTTTAAAAATGTCATCGCGTCGAAAATTACACCTTGCTACCCTATTATTTGGAATAATTGCATTAAAAACTCCTCGGTACTTATATGACAAATTAGTGTGGGTTAGCGAACAATCAAAATATCCTAAACGTAAATGTACTAAGGTCTTTGTTATTCCGAAACATAGAACAATGGCATTTAGAGGGTCCTTCAGGTATGCAGCTTCTCGTTGCTGGAACGATCTGCCGCCACCAATACGTGCTCTAAAAACTATAGGAATATTTAAAAAAAAACTGATATTAATTTTAAAACAAGACTGTAATCACAAATAATAAATAAAAATTTACTTTTTTTACGTATACAATTTAAAGGGCCTCCATTTAATACTAAAAAGATATGATGACTGTAAGATTCACTGTATTTATTTATTTTTTATCTCCACACTAATTTTCAGATCACTTTCTGTTTTCGTTTCTTTTCGTTTCTTTTCGTTGATGGTGTTGTTAAATCTTCTTAGTGTTCAATTAAATTCAAATGTTTATTTTATTAAGATTAGACGATATATTTCATGTTGTTGAGTTGTTGAGCACTTGATCATGTATGTGTACATGTGTGTATGGATGTATAGATATATATGGGTTCATATGTAATTGTATGTTTATGATTGCTTAAACAATGTATTATTATTTCCAAATAATAACTCTTATTATGCTGATTCTGTCCCCACACTGAATATTTTGATCTAATTTTAATTAGTTTTAGCTTTAGGTAATGTATGACCGTCCGTGAAGCCAATATTAGGCTCTATTTGAAAACCAGCGCTGCTGTCATCTAGTTCAGCAGCTGTTAGCTGAAATAGGGACCTAATTTGACTTTACAAAAACCCTGTTTTTTATATCTCGTGTTATTTTATTTTTTTTTTCTTTGTGATGTCAAATAAAGTTTTCTTTTCTTTTCTTTTCTTTTTTTTTTTAGTTTTCATAAAATCCCGGCTTGAGACTTCTTTGAGAATTTTTCTCTGTTCTCGTAATTTCAGATTTGGTTATGTACGACCATTTGAAAAATTCAATCTGTTTATATTAATTGCTTAATATATTTTTGTGAATGTAATTTATTTTACTAATTTATCACACTTTGATTAGTACCGCCTTACAAATAAGCGTTAAAAGCTACAGAACAGATACTCTGTAGCTTTTGATGCTTATTTGTAAGGCGGTACTAATCAAAATAAAAGTACATTACTAATGTCATCAAGTCAATTTAAATAAAACTAATTTTACGGATTTTATCGCGTATATTAACTTATTTTATATTCTCGACGTTTCGAGCAATTTAAAGCACCCATGGTCACGGGGGAGACTGAGGTGTATTACTTACCAATGTCATAATTAACCACGGCTACCTCCAGATTAAAAATTATTAATTTTTGTTCCGATCTACGCAGTATGAACTTACAGTATCTTGAAGTCTTGCAGTTGTATGCTTGGGTTGGGATGTAATTTTATTAATTATGGGATCCCAAGCAGATGGTAGCACCCAGCCATCTTCTCTATTGATATTAGGATGTTTTTTGATTTCAATAGCCTCGCGAATCATCCTTGGAAGGAATCGGTGTTCTTTAGCGAGGATTTGTGGTTTATCAAATCTAATGTAGTGACAGGAGGCGATCCTGTACGTGTTCACAGACTGCAGACTTCCCGGAGCGTCGATTCTTCACATCAGCTATGTGTTCTTTAACGCGGGTTTTTATGGATCTTTTAGTTTGTCCTATATAAGAGAGACCATATTCACAATAAAGCTTGTACATTCCTGCATCTTGCAGAGGAACATTACACTTGACTGATGGTAAAAACTGACTAATCTTCTTCGGCGATAAGCTATCGGGAGCCATTAAATATTTTTGGCGTACCTCATAGTGGATTATTACGAACCCACTGACAGTTATTACGCTCGGGGCTCAGTGGTGTCACAGCCAACCGCTTAGCCAATAGACATCATCAATCATATTATAAAGAAATAAATCTTTACTTCCACTCACTTTTTTTACGTTTGACTTAATTGTATATGTTTTACGTGGTAGAGTAACACCTGCAGCTATATAGCAGCTAATAATATGGTAACAGAACGAATGGGTCATCTCGACCTGGGAAAACCACGCTCTCACAACGTGAAATGATAATGAGTATAGAGGGGTGACAACGTATCTACATTTTAATTCTTAATCGGGGATAGATGTAGGTGTTTATAGGCGGCCACAGCATTTTTTTTTAAGAATAAGTGTGGTAAATGTGCCATGGTAAAGAATAAGTAAGGTGACAAACGAACACATACTCGTAGTCCACGTAATGACGTGATGGTAAAAGGATTTGTGTTTCCTGTGTCATCTTTATTCAATGAAACAATTATTTGTGTTATATGCTGTCATTTCAAGTCATTGTACATGTCATTACAAGATAAATTGATTGTGTAAAAATAACATTTTGATGTTATAAGAAAAATACACAAAAAATATTTTTTACAATATATTTACTCTACTAAATATATAATATTAAAGAGGGTTGCTCTCGATTGGATAGTATTAGATGAGGATCGGTAACGACAGGATGAAATCGAATTTAGAAAGATGAGATTTTATTTAAAAGTTTACTAGTAATAACAAATCTATTTTAGGTTCGCTTAGCTTTAAAAAAATTATTGAAACTTAGATTACTCAGTAAAAAAGAGAAATTTTAGGTTAAGTTTGTTTTGAGATGTAGCTTCATTTTTTATTTTATAATATTCGTAGGTGCTTAATGATTTTGTTTTACACCTGTTTTATAAGAATTAATCGGCATAGCAACATTAAGATAATTTTGGTATGACTGTTGACACGGTCACTTGTTAGCCTTGTAAAATCCAATATATCAAATCTTTCCAAAAATGCGTCAGCAGACATGCATCCTAATGCGTAGTATTTGCAGCAGTGATATTTTATTTCTAAGTGAGCTTAAGAAATACTTTTTATTTCCTTCTATACATGAAATTTCGCCCAATTGTGCTACAATCGTGTTAGCAAGTTCATCATTAATTGAACGTAATATTAGTCACCTAAAAACATTTATGCAGTGTATTCAAATATTTTTGGTTTACAAGAAAAGGAATTTCTTTACAGTTATATAACAGTTCCACCATGTGGTGGCGGGGTAAGAATATCCACTACCCTATAACGTCCCGTGGGTGTTATAAAAGGCAATAGCGGTAAATAAATTAACAGATTGTAACGGTAACGGTAAATAATATTTACCGTTAACAATGGCCGGCTCGACCGGAGTAGAACCACGCTCTCACAAAATACCAGCTTATAATAGCAGCTTAACACTGCTGTGTTTCGTATGGTGAGTGTAGAGAACCGGAAACCCTTTTTACTGGAAAAATGGCATTCCATCTTAGTTCTCACGGGTGACAAAGCATCTACATGTTGATTCTTTAGTGAGGTCAGATGTGAATGTCTGTGGGCCACAGCAACCACTTACCATCAGGTGGATTGTGTGCTCGTTGTCACCCTATCCTAAAAACTGATGTAGGTTTTGACTTTAATAAGAGGTTGTATTACTGCAAGCCCTCTCTAATTATGAGAGGGACACTACCAGCAGTAGACTGTTTACAGACCGATGGCGAAGCAGCGATAAATTTTTTATATTCGTGTTGAAAAGATTAAACAGATTGAAAATGCCACTCACCATGATGTGAGAGGGGTACACAATACGACGTGCCAGCGCAGTGTCGCGGCCGCACTTTCTCGTAGCGACTCAGCTGCTGCAGCTCGCAGTCCGAGTGATGCTTTTCTACTATGGAAGATATTTCTTTTTAATATCCAGTTTTTCGTGTTAGGCGGAACATAAAGCATTAATAATAATTTTTACGGGCTTAAGTTTATTAGCTGATTTACCAAGTGTTCGGTGGTGAAGGAAAACATCGTGAGCAAACCTGCATGTCTAAGAAATAAGAAAATAATATTTCTAAGACATGTGAAGTTCGCCAACATGCATTGGAACAGGTGCTCTGTTCCAATTTTTCTTTTCCTTTTTTCGTTTTCATTTAAATTTCCTTCTCCTAACACCCTCTCAGAAATGAGAGGATGCCTGTGCCCAGCTGTGGGACGTATATAAGCTGTAACTTTAACTTTAATTTTAAAGCTTATCTGGTTCTGTGATCATCTGTCCACCTGGTAGTTCAGGCAAATCCTCTCTACCCATTAAAAATTTTGAAGCCCATGACAAGCAGGAAGGAAGGAAATTTCAATTTCATTTTCAACATTACCGGCAAACTTTTTTAGTCCACCGACGTGCCGTTTTAGGAGTCTGTCAGAAGGCATTCATATTTCGAAAGAGTTATCCTTAGCGTGCCGGTACTCGGTTGGGACTCGCAAGTACAGAGCCTAGACACTTATAACATTACACAACACGACAAGTGTTGAAAATTTATGTTTGGTACATCGATTATTATCGATTGGTACATGGATTAGACGCGTGCGTGTATTGATATATGAAGTAAATGTTTGAAACTTGAATATTCTACCAAATAATGGGTATAAGTATCTCAAAATCTCATGTCAGATTGGAAAATATGGCTACACTTTAGAAGTTAAAGAAAACCTTCGCGATCACGATGTCGTTGCGGATGCTTCCTGCAGGGACGGTGCGGCGGAGCGTCGTTGTCGCGGTGCCCGAAGGTGCGGAATTGAAGCGTGTGGTCTAAAGTTGCAGCTGTTGCTTCTCCGCCCACGGCGAATGTAGCGTACGGACTTATTTCATACACATCTAAACAGTTACCATTAATAGTTAATGTTAGTTAAAAAAAAAACTATAATTGTTCAAAACATTAACATTATAATTGTTCAAAAAATTACTATAATTGTTAAATTGTAAGATCTCTGTTTGCACTTTTGTGTTAACGTTGCATATTTTTTTACCTTGACTTTTATACGACATTGATATTGAAAGTTTCTTCTCTCTTATCTTATCGATTTCTTTATTCTATTATTATATTATAAGGTTAGTTTTATATTACGTAAAATAAAACAAACATTATTCCTATGATATTAAAAATATACACAACATTACTTTTGTAATCAATTTATTTTATTTGTATTTTAATAAAGTTACCCCACACTAGGATTTTCTTCTCTATCGTGGAGGTAGTCTACAAACTTAAATTGCACAAAGACAAATACCAGACCCGGTGCAATTATTTTTAGGCCATACTTGTTCCGTGCGGGATTAGAACCCGCGGCCTACAGAGCTATAACTCATTACTAAACCAATGCTACATGGAGCTATCCATACTGTCTATGATTTTATTTTTATCATAAAATAACAAAGAAAATTAAAGCCTTATTGTTATAACCGCATAAAGCGTGTCGACACTTACCGGAGGCCGGCGATAGTTTGTCGTGTTTGTAATCGTGTTGACAATTTCGTATGTTCTGCTGTTCTGGACAAACAGATTTGTCAGTGCTGGCAACTGAATGACTGCACCGCCGTGTCTCTTCATCAACTGGTCCACCACATGGCCATAATGTGCTAAAGAAACGAAGTACCGAATCTGTTTAATTATTTATGGTTATTTTTCATTTAGAACTGGTAAAATTTTGGAAAAACGTTATAAAATTCATTATATATATATATATATATATATATATATATATATGTATATAGGTGCATAACGAATCCGGTCTTGAGCCACGCTCTCACAGAATACCAGCATGAAACAGAAAATTAATTTAGCCTTGTTTCGACTGATGAGTGTAGAGAACAGCATGTCATCTTAGTACTTAGGGGTGAGTTATACGTGGTAGAGCCAATCTGCAGCTATACTAGTAGTATAGTTGTAGCACGAATGGTTCGGCTCGACCGGGGAAGGAACACGCTCTCACAGAATACCGGCGTAAAATAACAGCTTAACGCTGCTGTGTCTCGTATGGTGAGTGTAGAGAACCGGATACCCTTTTCACTGGAAAAGAGGCATTCTATCTTAGTTCTCACGGGTGATAACGCATCTGCATTTTGATTCGCAAACGAGGATAGATGTAGATGTCTATGGGTCACAGCAACCACTTACCATCAGGTGGATTTTGTGCTCGTTTGTCACCCTATCCTATATAAAAAAGAACGCATCTCTATTTTGGTTCGTAATCGATGATAGTTGTAGATATCGACACTCACTAGATGAAGTGGAGATCTAAAGGTATGTTGTAATTTGTAGCGGTATTTGGGGGAGACTATTCGGCAGTAGACGTGTGGCGGATTACGAAGATGTTGATGAAACAGATTAATATAATATAACATCGTCTGCCTTAAAATAAGTTTTTTATATGTACAACTAAGGGTGGTTTTCAGGGACAATCTAAAGTTTAAGCTCGTACTCCATAATGTAAAAAGGGGAATGCCCAATTCTGGCCATGAAACGCCCAAAAATTTGCATTTGTTAAAAAAATACTCTCTTTTTATGGTAATTAATAGCGGTATTTATGTATCCAAAAAAGATTGCAATATTTTTGCACAAAAAAAAAGTACTGAAAAGATAAAAACGAAATTAGGTAAATCCGCAAGTCATTAGTTTGTGGATAAATAAAAAGTGTTGTCAATCACAAATCTCGTTAAAAAGGCGATTCTGTTTTTTCAATCGATTTTTTGTGGCGTCATTATTATAATGGTAATATTATTTTTCGATAATTATTGTGATGTTATGATAATTAAAAAAGCGAATTGCTAGTTGATTTACCATGAACTCTTTAGAACATAACAAAAACGCTACTGCACAATTTAACTGTTATTCTTATCTGTTCTTAAAAAAAAAAACATTTAAAACTAATTTAAAAATAAATTAAACAAAACATATTTTAAAAGGTGTGCAGAACTTAAAGCGAATCAAAGGTTATTCTTTTTTATTAAATTATAAATCGAATAAAAAATCACTATCTATTTATCGATTTTATATCTGTTATTTGGCATCATCGAATCTGACAGCTAGGCCCATGTCATAATTATCAAACTAAATAGTCACAAATCGAATTCCTTTGCATTTGTGTTATTTTGTTTGTTTTCTCGCGGATTTGTTATCTAAGCAACGAATAGCTTTCTAAATGGACTCCGATAATTCTTCTCACCCTATTGACCACGGCCTTAAAATGGATCCCGCTCCCACTTCTTACCTCTGCATGAACTTGGACTCGATATCCACTGTTAACAATGACCCCAGCTTTTACACCGGCCAGAGTTCTTCCCAGCTCTCAGCAACTTATTTAAAAGGACATTTACGCTGTGTCAATTATGGTTTAAATGTCACGAAAATACGAAGTCATTTGTTGTTAAAAACTGTTCTTGTCAAAATAAAAAATCTTTATATCTTAAAAATCCGGACTTTTTTTAAACCAATTCCTTAACCATTTCATTATTTTAATTGCATATTATCATTCCCATATGCTTTTATATGTGGGCACCCATGGCCGAAGTGTCTATGAACGGTGGGCATTCCCCTTTGTGGATTATATGTATGGATTATGCTCAAATTTAGACTCAAACCGATCTAAGTGGGTAATTAATATAATTTATCGTTTTACAAACATTACTGGACCAAACTAATGAACCAAACCTTATATCGTGACCAACGAATTGGAAACATGTCGCGCAAAGCTAATTGATCGCGTATAAAAATTGCTTTGCGTATTTACTTCCTGGTCTCTTATGAGCATATCTTTGTCGTTTATTACTTCCTGTTACTACGCAATTATTTTATGGTTTAATCTTATGGTAAAATTGTAGTATTTGATTGAAGTAGGAGCGCAAGCTGTTTTTATAGAATAGGGTGACAAACGAGCATATAGTCCACCTGATTGTAAGTGGATGCTGTGGCCCATAGACATCTACATTTATCCTCAATTACAAATCAATATACAGATGCGTTGTCAGCCTAGAAGATAGAATGCCTCTTTTCCAGTAAAAAGGGTCTCCGGTTCTCTACACTCGCCATACGAAACACAGCAGCATTAAGCTTCTATTTTACTCTGGTATTATGTGAGAGCATGGTCCTATCCCGGTCGAGACGACCCATTTGTGCTACAACCATAATATAGCTGCAGCGCGGCTCTACCACGTTCAAAAATGCTGGCACATTGATCTCTATTTATCTCTATCTCATTATCATCATCATCTTTATCCAAAGTCCATTACTAAACCTAACATAACTAGGCCTTTACCATATACTACGCAACATACGTCCTTCGATCTATCTATCCGCATTTTGTGTCGTATAAGTGGGTTAGGGCTAAAATAATTAAATATCGTAAGTGTTAATGGATGATTAAATTAACACTGCACAATTAATAGTTTAACGCGTACTGGAGAAAAACTTATTGAGGAAATCTGAATGTCTGAGGTATATATTATTTTGTGAATATGCGAAGTTCGCCAACACATACTGTAACAGCGTGAGGGAATGATTGGCTCTATTACCCTCTCAGAAATGAGAGGTAACCTGTGGACGGCAAAAGGACATATTATATATATATACTCGAATATATAGACTGTAATTCTTACTTTTGAAATTCCGAAACTGCTTATTAATATCACCTTTTATATGGTGCAAGATGTTTGGTAGTGGGACTGGCAATCTATTTGTCAAGAGTCCCGATTATAATGAACCTTTTATGTTGGTCCAACGTTAGGCTTTGTATTTGATGATGTCGACAATATGGTTTATATTGATGGAATTCTGTTTAGTATTTAACTATAATAGGGACGAATAAGAAACAATTAGGTTGTTTATTTGGTCAGGCACATACTGCCATATGTGTAATAACAACTGCTATAATTCGTGTAATTCGCTGATATTAGGTTATACATATGAACCTGCTCAATCACCTCAAACTACCTGCTCAATCCATAGCAAATTAAATTGTTTATTGATGATGGTGGGAACCGTTAAGCATAATTTATTTTATAATCTAACTGGCCTTACCTATAAAGAATTTTTAAAGGTTGTAATAAATGAAGATTACTTTATAATGTCAGTAATATTCTAAAAACATTAATTGTTTTTTAATAATTATTATATAACGTACCTTCGTTTTGCCAACAACACAAGAAGTAATGCTGCTACTGCGAGAGCTGCGAGCGCTGCAAAAGCAAGCGAAACTGCTCCCAACACTCGGTCCGTGTCTGCTGCACCACCAACAGTTGGCACGGATCCACTTTCTGCTTGAAATGCTACTGGCCGACGAAGTTTTTCTGTGTGGAAGTCAATTAATCAAGTTGTATATTTAATATCAATATGTATGCAACATATGCACGTATATGCAGTACATGCCACTGCGCTACGGGCGGCTCCGTGGCGCAGTGACTTAGCAATGAGTTGTTGCGCTGGGGGCCGCGGGTTCTAATCCCGCACGGAACAAGTATTTGTATGGCATACAAATAATTGTTCCGGGTCTGGATGTTTGTCCTCGTGCAATTTATGTTTGTAAACTGCTTTCACGATACAGGAGAAAATACTAGTGTGGTGGTAACGTTTATAAAAAAAAATAAAGAAAGTATGGACTGGACCCGCCCGGGAGTTGAAAACAAAAGTGTACAACCTGTTGGCCATATTAAGAAGCTTAAGGTTTCTTTGAGTGATAGGATTCGTAATGAAAGTATCCGCAGTGGAACCAGGGTGACCGACATATCGCAAAAAATCATCAAGCTGAAGTGACTAGGGGCCGGTGAAATAGCTTGAAGAACCGACCACCGATGGGGTAGAAAGGTTTTCAATAGGTGGCTTCGTACCAGTAAGTGAAATGTACCTGGTAAGTCATGCAGGAAGATATGGATGAAAGTAACTCATGACCGTGTTCTGTGGTATTCTTTGGGGTGGCCTATGTTCAGCAGTGGTCTTGTGAAGAGATGTAATAATGTTGATTATGCATGGGAGCCGTAGTAGCTTAAGTTTTAAGCACTTGCCTAAGAATTCCATAGTAATATACGCGAATGAACTGAGTACGATCACTGACAGAATGGGAATGGGATTGTTAATTTTAATTGCTGATTTAACACTAAATGGGCGGTGCAAGAAATCTTAAGGAAACCTGCAAGTTTGAGGATTAATAAAAATAGTAATCTCATTGATAATGAAGTCTGCTTAAATGTATTGGCTCAGCGGACCCTAACATGGTCTAATACCATCTCAAGAATAAAACGAAGTCATCGATGGTGCGTAGGTTATTACTATCCATTCTAATATAGTCATGTTCTTCTGGTGAGTTTTATTGAAAACCTAGTGACAAATGAGACGAGATGAGAGTGAGATGAGAGTTTACATGTGTGTAAGAATACAGCCTCTAAACGAACTAAGAACAAAGAAGGCTACTGGTGCCTTTGAGAACTTAGATACATTTTTTTACAATCTGAAACCATATCAGCTTTTTATCTATCACTATTATATTTACTGCTAGCTGTTCCCCGTGACTTCGCTCGCGTGTTAGGGTTTTTATGTTTTTGCGCGGAACCCTAATTATTTTTCTAAAATAAAAGTAGCCTAAGTTACTCCTTATGAAATTAGCTATCTGCCAGTGAAAATCCCGTCAAAATCGGTCCAGCCGTTGCGGAGATTAGCCGGAACAAACAGACAGACAGACAAAAATTGTATTTTAGTTATAAGTACCGTATTTACTTTCATATGCATTTAGTAAAAAAAACTGTAATTTTGACATTACAAACAAGACACTTCAATTTTATTTATTTGTATAGATTTTATCTTTATATTTGCTATTGGTGTGTACATTATAAGTAAGTAATATAATAAGAAAAATAACATGTGATAATCAGGTTTTTTACCCCCAGAAGGTGTTGTGGTTGCTGCGTAAATTATAGCTTGATGTCGGGCTGACTCTGTAGCTGTCCACAAACGAAGAGCGTACCAGGCTCCTGCCGTTAAGTCATTTACAACGACCTGATAAAAGAAAAAAAATTCTTTCCACCCAAAAATACAGTATATAGAGAGCAACAATGAATATAATAATATGTTTACATCTGAAACAAAACTATTGTTAGGTGAAAAACTAGCGTCTAAATTAGAAAGAACTTGCATTTTAGGTCACTAATAAAAATAAATCATAATTTATGTTGATTAGTCTAAATGGCAGAGGTCTAGCATAAAAATCATAATATTATTCTTACGTTTACATAGCCACAATTCATCCCTTTATTTGAAGCCTATCAAAAGATATAACAACAGTGGATTTTTAATGTACCCACGACCACAGATTGACTCATAGGAGGATACATTCCATAGGTGGCACACTTGGCAGATAGTGAGTAGTAGTGGTAACGGGTAGTGATACGCCCACTACATAACGTGCATAATCACGCAGAGAAATCATCAAAGACACCAGTTATTGGAAGTAAATATTTGTTTTCCAAATAATATTTTTTTTTATAGAAGAGGGGGCAAACGAGCATGCGGCTCACCTGATGGTAAGTGACTACCGCCGCCCATGAACAACCGCAACACCAGGGGAATTGCAGATGCGTTGCCGGCCTTTTAGAAAGGTGTAAGCTCTTTTCTTGAAGGTCGCTAAGTCGTATCGGTCCGGAAAAATCGCCGGTGGTAAACAATTCCACAGAGAAGTTGTACGAGGAAGAAAACTTCAAGTAAAACGCACAGTCGTGGACTGTCAAGCATCCAATTGGTGAGGATGGTATCGTGAATTTTCTAATATACATGTCATTGTTTGACGGCTTTTGGCTTATTTTGTGCATGGTGTTGGTCCACGAGCATTTTACAACATATTAGACTTTTATTGCAATATAAAATATACATAAAAAAGAGTTATAACTTGAAAAATGCTCACTTCACGATGATGGTGCAATGAAGTAAGGTCGGCGTCCCTCCAGATACCGTTATTTCCAGCGTCAGCTCGTCGCCATTGCAAGCGGACAAGTCGTGCCCCGCAACGTACTGCTCTTCGCGCATCCACTGCCAAAGCACTGCTGTTACTCCATACGGCCGCTTCAGCACTTTGGTCACTGTTTTCTTTTGATTCTCCCCCTCCCTCCCAAACTAGTACTAGATTTTGTGAAACATAATTTAAAATTCAAAATTTTGTACAGACGACTTCAATATAAATTATAAAAAATAACTCAAAAACTATTGGTGAGACCCTGATCAAATTTATATGGAACCACATGAGAAGCACCAGCTTTTAAATAAAAAAAGAATGATCGAAATCGGTTCACACAGTACAAAGTAATGAGGTAACACACATAAAAAAACATGCAGTCGAATTGAGTACCGTCTCCATTTTAAAGTCGGTAAAAATTGCGCTTATAAGAAATCACTTTAAATATATTAAAAGTTGTCGTAATACGAGATAGTAAGGAAATTACGAGATAGAAAAAAAATGTAGGCCTTATCTATCAAAAGGTTTAAAATTTTTATTAAGCAAGAATGTTTAGCAAGGTTTAATATTACTAAAGAATATATGATTGATAATAACCCCTGGGAATGAGGTGATCGCTACCATGCTATATGTTTTCGTACTAATTGTAGGGTAGTTGTTTGGTTGGTAGGTAGGTAGTAGTGTATTTGCTGGTTCTTCTCAGGACAGAGATTTTTCTTTGAACCAGTGGAATGCTTAAATGACTTAATAAGTATTCTTGTATCTATTGAATAAAAATTGTTCTATTGTATTATATTCTATTACTTTCGAACTTATTAAACATTTAGAAACATATTCACGTTCACTCAATGTTAAACATAGATGTCAATTTTTAAAACAACAACAATTATAAAAACCACAATTATACCTGGTGGTTTTGTCCGGACTAATAGTGGAGCAGAAGACGGTGAGGGACCGGCTCTTGAGTGGGCTACTGCTCTGACGGAATATGTGGCTCCACACGAAAGCGCTCTTAGAATAACACTAGCTGCTTCTCCCCCGGCTTCCAGTCTTCGTTCCTCTTCAACGCGGGAATTGATAGATTCCAACCCTTCACCAGTGTCATCCCGAATGCGTACCCACCAAATGGTAAAACCTATGCGTAAAATTAAATAAATTTTTTAGTTTTTATAGATTAAGTAAGTGAATGCTGTGGCCTATAGACACCCCAGCTGGTATTCCAGCTGACCGACCAGCCGGCTGACCGGGGAAGCACCATGCCCTCCATAGTGTTTTCCCGGTCGGTCCGACATATTCCTGCTGTAGCTATAATACAACTGCGGCGTGGCTTTACCAAGTCAAATGTGTGTAGATGAATTTTATTGTGTCAGCCTTGAATTTGTGAATTCCGAGTTCTTTCTACATAAATACAATTTATTAAATGGGGCATGAAAAGCAATTTAGATAAGTCGGAAAATAATACAGACGAACATTTCTAAGCTATTATAACAGTAGACATTACAATACAAATATAATTTAATTAAAAAATCCATCCTTGATTAAGAATCAAAATGCGTTATTACCCTCGAAGGTCGAGATCCATCACCTCCTTATACTATATATACTACCTTTTCACTTACCAAAGCTGCACTATGATGTTATTTTACACTGGTCACAATGCCTCTACTACGTATATGTACATATGTAATAGCGGATTCACTATTGCTTGAAGGTGGTACAGTTAATTGGATCCCTACCACCTTGTTGTCATGACTCTAAATATTAAATTATATTATCTAGTTGGTGAAAATTAAAAAAAAAAATATCAAATAATATTCATAATAAAATGTGTTTTAAAAGCTTACCGTGTGGCGGAGCAGCTGGGTGGTGCGTAGTCCGCCAGGTAAGTTTAGCTTCTTTATGTGCGGCGTGCTCCAATGTAAGGGTGGGAGCGGACGGCGGGGATGCACATTCTACGCGGTATGTTACTTCTTCGGATCCAAAAGCATTACGAGCAGCACACGTGTAATTTCCGCTTGTGGCTGCGTCCACTTCTGTTAAAAATATAAATATATTTCTATGTTAAAAATATTAATTAGAGTTATTTATTAATCGCTTTATTATGGTAATAACTCTATTAATAATTTACACTAAGACCCCTATCATACTTCTTACCATTCTTGGTCAGTGTCGCAAGGCGTTTAATTAATGTGTGATTCTAAATATATGATGTTGATGATAACAGTAGCTAAATGTTATATAAACGTTAGCATAACAGAAAGTTAGAATTTTTAGTAGTGAGTAATTTAGATGATAATGGTAAAATTTATTATCATTTTAAAAAATGTGGGCCTCAAGTTAAAACTTCGAAAGAAAATAACTAAACAAAACTTATGATAAAATATAAATTTAGTGATTGCTTTTAATAAAATAATAATACCGTGGAGTGTAATCAATCATTATTAGCGAAAATGGCAACTCTAATTACCAACAACTTTATGACAATAAAGTTTACGATCAAATTAGAAAGTCTCAACGTTTTGTTCGTTTAACATTTATATGGGAACTTACTACTACCAAGCCGTTTCAAAATAATTCGTATGATTAATTGTAATTGTACAATGCTTGAAAAAAGAAAACACAAGAAAGTTTTTTTATAAATTCTACGTATTTCCCTTAAGGATCCTCCCTCATAAAAATCAAGATTACTTATTTCATTACCTTTTATTGGAGTCGTTGTATCTGAGGGACTCAGCACTCGCTGTAAATTTCACACTACGCGAGCAACCCGGGTTCGAAATCCACCGGCACCAATGAAATTGTTAATTGTAATTATTTTAAGTGCTAATTCACCACGTGCTCGGTGGTGAAGGAAAACATCGTAAGGAAACCTGAATGTCTGAGAAATTAGAAAAAACATTTCAAAGGCATGTGAAGTCCGCCAACACATATTGGGGCAGCGCGGCGGACATTTCCTAGCCCTTAAACCCTATCAGAAATGAGAGGCGGCCTGTGCCCAGATTTGGAGCGTATATAGGCTGTAATGTAGCTCACATTTTATTACTTCTAGTAATATCTAGATATTTTTCTGGTATTTAAATACCGAAGGCGTTACATTAATATTAATATTAAGTAATATTTTCCATTATGAATCGTTACCATGTATAGTTAGATGTCCATGCGGCGTCAAATGCGTCCGTGGATCGTGTGTGACGGGTCGATCGCCACGCAACCAACGTGCTCGCGGTGCGGGCTCGCCGCGCCATGCACACGCGAGCCTCAAGGAGTTGCCGCATTTTACACGGGCCCATACACCAAATGCCAGGAGCCTGACCGTTGCTACAACAACAATTTATCATTGTGGCGGAGAAAGTTATTTAGGTATTTAATTTCAACAATAATGATTATTTTGATAATTATAGTTTCTAGATATATAGCACAATTATTTGACATCATCATAATTAAAAACATGATCTTCAAACGCCTGAGAAGATTTTCATGAACAATAGCTAAGAACACTCGATCAAGTCACCTTTCAAACAAAAAAGAAACTAAATCTAAATCGGTTCACTCGTTTAAGAGCTACGGTGCCACAGCAGACACACAGACAGACCGACTGACACACATAGTGCTCAAACTTATAACCCCTCTTTTTCGTCGTTAAAAATAAATAGGTTAGTCTCAACGGAGATTAGCCAAAATATGCGCAGGATAGCGCAAGCAAAGATACACTCTCTATTCCGTTAATCTAATAGTCCGATGGGACGGAAATCTGACACGACCAGAGACGAGACGCAAGAGCTACGGCCTTATGTACTTTTCGAGGATTGAGTGTGAAACATCGCCTACTCCCTACACTGGGGTGTTACTGTGAATTTCTTGATATAAAAATCCAAAAACTGATTTTACTCGAACCCGGGATTTGAACACGGCATCACATAATTTGCAGTAGCGCTTGTAACTACTAAACCAACAAGACAGTTCAACGCACCTTTGACGCTGCCCTTCGTTACCGGTCTATACATTTTATATCTGGGGTAACCGAGAACCATGAGTTCTTTTTGGATCCCTAACATCCACGGGCCAAAATGGGGTGGTGGGTTCTCTTACGTCGGCATTACACTGCTTATAAAGGAGTTAAAGAATTTCACATTATGTATATAGTAATGAATTTGGAGAAATAAACTCATGTGAAGTCATGACTTCACATATCATTACAATTTTATTTCACGTTTTATAATGGTAATATCGTTGTATAATATCATCCCATAATAGTAAATCGCTTACCCCTTGAGGTCGTTGTAGCTGGTTGAGGCGCAGATGGTTCACCTTCACCTGCCACTGAGTGAGCTGCGACCCAAGCTTCGTACGTAGCACCCTCTGATAGAGATCTTAGTTCAGTTGATCCTCCCAAGCCCACAGAAGATTCAACGTCTTCGGCTTGAACAGTCGTTGTTTGTGGGGGTCGGTCCCTATTTAACAGTTTTATGACGTAATCCAATCTTCAGTTGACTTAAAAACTCACGAGGTTTCGTTCAATTCAACTGTATGTTTTTCGTAATTATGTTATATACGATATCTTCGTAAAATGTGAACCGATTTTAATGATTATTTTTTATTACATAGGTTTTACTTCATTTCATACAAAGTTGAAGAAAAAATTCCAGAATAGCAAAATAGGGGACATTGATTATTTAGAAATTATATAGATAGTAACCATTTAGAAGAAATTAAGATTGAGATATTCCTTAGTCCACTCAAATGGGTTAAAATAGCTTTTAATAAAAATTTAAAAAACTAAAAATAATTATTGTATCATTTCATATTCGGAAGCGGGGATATAATTCTACTTTACTTACACTATGTCTTAGCAAGGACTTCAGAATATATAATTATTTTATTCTCTTTAGTTAGTTAGTTTAGTTAGATAGTTAGTTAAGTTAGAAAGTTAGTTAATTTAAATAGTTAGTTAAGTTAGTTAGTTTAGGTAGTTAGTTTATATAGTTAGTTTAGTTAGTCGGCTTTAACTTTTTATTAAAAATCATTTTTAATAGAACTAGTAGATAGTTCAAAACTGAAGTGATTGTATTTAAAATACCTGCCAAGTTCACGGTAGAAAATAGTGTAATATATAATCGGTCCATTGGGTCGACTTGGCGGTAACCAGCTAACCGCTAGTGAGGACACTGAAGTTGCTACGACTTTAACCGCAGCTGGGGGCCCAGGAACTAAAAAGAAGCACAATAACATAAAACTATAAAATATTGGAATATCATAAGATTTTGAGAAATTACATCAAGACTCTTACCGTCTTGGTGTGTGGTGCAATGGATAGGATGAGCGGGAACGCCATCCCCAGCGGAAGTATATGCTAAGGCCTGTATTGTGTAGTTCATGTGTGGTCTAAGAGCAAGCAAAAGCGTTTCAACACCCGCCACCCGTTTCACTTCAGCTCCCGCTACAGCACTTTGACCACCACCACCACGTACCTCCCACTCCAGCCAATCTATCGCTGCCGACAAACAACTGCCATCACTTAGCTTAGATTGCAATAAATAAAGTTTCTTTTAATGAATTTTATTAATTCATTGTTTCATTACAGCATATCTAAAGTTAACTGCTGAAGATAGGCCTTCTCCGTGGATGGAATCATCGGAGCCATAGTTGGCTCGCTTATTATTTTGAATAATTATCAAGACAATGCTGCTGTCCATCTCCCGTATCTTTTACCAAAGGTTTAATTTTATAAAATGGATTCACTTTACATAAAAAAATAAGTTATATAGCAAAATTTTATCGCTATGATTAAACTAAAAGTTCTATTTTTAATTAGTGAATGAATTATAGTTCGTTCATACGCTAAGAAGAAGAAAGATTAATAATTGTATTTTTATTTAATGCTTCATACAACTCACTATGTTCAGGACGATACAGTAGCTTGTACCCAAGTAAAGCTCCATGGTGAGCGTGTGCTGGCGGAGGTGACCACTCAACTTTTAGACTTTGTGGTGATACTGCACGACATCTCACTGCCCGTGGACCTTCTGTTGGTACTTCATACACAAAAAAAAAATTATAAACACGCAGTTTAATTTATTTTTAATATTGTTTGTCTGACATCTATAACAGTAATAATTATAAGGTAGACAGACTGCTTTGCATAAATGCAAATTCTTGTTTTCTTTCTGTTCGTGTCTTTATTTAAATATTAGTCTCAATTTTTTTCCAAACATTACATTAACCATATTGTAAGTAAGTAGGTATATAAACTTACCACTTTCTTGCGTCAAAGTATTTACAGGGGCAGTAGCTGGACCTGCCCCAGCACTGTTGAATGCTCTAACGCTAATCGAATATCTGCAACCGATATTAAAAATTCTAAAGTGAGCCTTCATTTGAAGCTCTGTTAGATCTATAATTGGATATTATTTTAAGATATTTTTACATATATATCCAATCATATTTATATCCAAAATAATTCTAATGACTATACTCTGTGGCTATTATTTATTCTGTGTCTGTGGGTTAATTTCCAGTTAAATTATTTGTATTGTTGCTCTAGTTACTAACCGTGTGTAGTGTTCGAGACCTTCGATGGTGTATTTATTGATTTGGCCTCGAACTGTAGCAAATTCCATGCCGACATTGGCGCCACCTGAGAGAGATCCATCGGCAGATGGCCACCACCACACTGTATATCCAAGTAGTTCACCGTTCCAAGAAGAAGTGGGTGGAGCCTAAAATCCAACATTGGGGACTATGAAGTAATTTATATAATATATAATAATTTAGTTAAATTAACGTGAAATTATTTAAAAAATAGGTAACGATGCGTTTCGTTCCGTTTTAACTATTTAATGTCTATTTGTTGTTGTTATGATTTTATGGTCCAAATATACTGCGGAATCAATTTTATTAAAACTTGATTCCGTTTTCACTATTCTATTAAGCGTAACATAAACTATATGATATATAGTTATGATATCAGACATCGTAACTTTATTCCATAGCCAGACAGTGCAAGGCTGTGAAGGTTATGTAGCCTATTTTTAAAGATAGTTGTAAGTGTTTAACCCTGTCCCAGGAATCATAAATGAATATTTCGATTGTTTAATTATTGTATCTATTTAGTGGACAAGGAAACTGTCAAGCTTAAACTTACCCGCAGGTGGACTTTCATTTGTTTTATTCGCAGTAAGAAATGTAGGTACAAGAATTAGATTATACATAAATTCAGACGTAGATAATATATTTTTATACCTGCCAGGTCAATTCAACTGTGGCAGGTCTTTGAGCAGATGCTCGAAGACTGATCGGCGCTCGTGCTGGTGGCTCGTGTAAAGTCAAAGCAAGGAGTGCTCGAGTATGAGACGAAGCAAATTGTGCTGTAACAGTTCTTGCTCGCACTAAATAAGCTGTTGCTGGTTCCAGACCGGATATCGTTGCACCTTCTACCCTAAAATACAAAATATAAGTTATAGCTTCTTGTTTAACAACTAATCTAACAACATAAAAATATAATTTTCCTTATTCTTTAATAGCCAGAGATTGAAAAGCAGTTACGAATTTCGTAACGTTTCTTCAATTAGTTTCTAATAAAGGTTCTGTTTCGGTACGGTTCTGGTTCCAAAATACTATTTTTTAGATTTCATGTCCGAGATCAAACATTTTATTGAGTTATTATAACATAGGACCAAAAATATTGATCATCATTTAGTAACCATTGTTTTTATTAGATATTAAATAAATTAAATCACATTTTAATATTAATTAGTAATTATACATTTATTTTACATAACATTACATTTAGTAATACATGACAATAGAACAGCAGTAAACTTAAAATATTCGAATGATACAAGGTGTAACTTCAAAACACAAGGAAACTTACTCTGTATATGTATCTGTTGAATGAGCAGATACCGATACATTGTGAGTATCAGCATCTCTCCAAGAATCGGGATTAGTAGAATCATGTTTTCGATACTGAACTACGTATCCGAGTACTGGAGAGTTTCCATCATACGGTCGACGCCATTGTAAACGAACTGAACGAGATGTTGTTTCCAATACACGAAAGTTGGCAGGTGGTTCTGGTGGCTCTGGAAACAATTATATCCTTGTTTCAAAATAATTTGATATGAACGTTTTATTTTTAATTTTTGTTATTATTAATTTGGCCATACCTTGAACACCAAGATGAACAAAATGATCAGATCGGCCATACGGATTCGATGCTTGACATCGGTAAACACCAGAATCTCTTCTGTCAGCTCGTTCTAAAACTAACTCGCTCCTCAATCCTTCTGCGCTTCGTGTTTCAGAAATACTCATCCTAAAAAGAAATTATTATTCAAAAAGTAAAACGGGTAACGGTTGCTTTGTAATAAAGGAGTAAGCCGCGTACCTATAATCAGAATTTGGAAGGGCGCGTCCCGAGCTACTCCATGTTATTGTTAGAGGAGTGTCCCCACGTGCTACACATGCAAGCCGAACAGTATCCCCAAGTTTTGCTGTCACATTAACTGACGGTGTTTCAAATCGCGCAGGCTCTATTAAATATAATTATTATTAAAGTAATTTTATAAGTTTACATATAAATAAAAATTAAATATAGTACTTTTTTACCATTAACGTGTATAGTGAGTGTTTTTGATAATGGCGGGGGAACTCCGTTATCTGCTCTACACCGATACCGTCCTGAATGTTCAGCTCGAGCTGTTTCTAATCTTAATGAACCGTTATTCAGTACAACTGGATCGGATACTCCACCCAATGTGGTTTCTGTACTACCTTATAAATAAAATTCAGTATTAAAAATCATTACTGTCTATTAAAAATAATTGTATCGTTGGTTTTATATTTATAATACCAGAAAATTTAGTCCAGTATATGGTAGGCTTGGGGTGACCTCGAGCTTCACAACTTATAGTGAGAGAACCATTTAGTAAAACAGCACTATCTGATGGTTCAAGTTGCCAGTACGGAGGAACTGTCAAAGAAATAGTTTAAGTATTACGGTGAAGTAAAATAAAGTAAATTCAGTTAGTATTAAATGTTTATATGTTACCTTTTATAGCCAATTCAGCCGACGTATTAGCTTTACCAGCTGTATTCGTAACGACACAGGTGTAAGTGCCACTGTGAGCTGCTGTTAAACTTTTGAATAAAAGCATACTGTAAAATTCTGCTCCACGTTCGTCAACCTAAAAGAAATATAGGAATATCACTTAGACATATTTACGAAAATTTCATTTAGATGGCGAAGTGATATATTATATTTACCTGTAGCACACTCGATAAAGGCATTTGATCTTTCAGCCACGAAAAATAAACAGGCATATCACCGGACGTTACGGTACAAGTCAACTGAGCTCGATCGCCTGATCTCAAGCCAGGTGGAAACACTATCGGGGAGAGGACGGGCGGTGACACAACTGATACTTGCACCTAAACGTAAGGAAAATTTAATTTTTTTTTAATTTAAAAGCGAATATTTTATTAAAATTATTTTTCGAAATTTAATTTTTAATGAAATATATAATAGACTAAGGTAACGTTCACCTCTCTTCTGGCTAACTCTCCTCCCGGGGTTAAAACTGAACATATCCAGCCTCCTTTATCTCTATTACGGTCCACATTTGTAATTGTGAGTTGACCGTCAACTTGATGATAGCGTGGGTCAGCTCCAGCACCACCTTCCCACTTTACTGACCTGTCATCATCATACATACTTCAATGTGACGGCCCACAGAACAATATTTCAATTAGAGGAAAAAATTAAGGCGTACTTTTTAATTGTATTTTCATTTAATATCCTCATGTAAGTTCACATTTTTAATAATAAATCTTAATTTGCGTTAAACTTGACACAATATTCATGATAATAGCGTAAATCAAAGATTACTAATGTATACTTGGCGTACGTGTTTTTCGTCACCGTATACCGTATACTTAGAATGTAACAACTAATGTGAAAAATGTAGTTCACAGTTCTTTTATAGAAGAAGGGGCAAACATGCGACTTACTTGATGGTAAGTGACTACCGCCCATCATGAACAACTGCAACACCAGGGGAATTGCAGGTGCGTTGAAGGAGTAAGCTATTTTCTTGAAGGACCCTAAGTCGTATCGGTCCATTTCATTTTATAGATCATACTAATATTTATTTATTTAAAATAAAATCTCTAACTCTGAGATCATTAAATGTATATATTTATTTTTATAATGTACAACTCTCTTGGTATTTCGTTATAACATTTAACTAAAAAAAAAAATACTTATGACCGGACAAACTCTAGAATAAATAGCCTATCAAGGTGTTTGCTACACATACATACATACATATTACATAAATTGATGAAGTTGTTTGCCATCCAAGAGTCTTGAAAATCAGTTTGGAAAATTGTATCGACGGTGTTCTACTGTATAAATAATAGGCTCTACGTATACAAACTACATATTTATTGCCTATCACATAACTAAATGTTGTATATGATTTATTACTATTTTGAAGTTAATTTAAGAAAATGTAAATATTTTGTACATCAAGCAACAATATGAAATAATGAATATTAGAATATCTTTTCAAAATAAAGTTATTCTACACTTACTCTATCGGGAATCCATAATATGGGCACCAAATAGTAATATCCGATCCCGCAACAGCCTTAACGGGATTCATCGCGCGGATATATGGAGGCCCTGCATGAAGACATTTTCCTTATTTAATAGAGAACAATCCCACGATTTATCTTGTCAACAAAAAAATGCTAACACACATTAGAAGGTTTTTAGATATTTAGATATCGGTAATGACATGCTGCGTAAAACGTTGATTAATTACTGTTACTGCTTTTAATAAATTATAGATATTACTCGCTGCTACAAAAAATAATTGTGAAAATGTGGTTATAATTTGGAAGGGTTACATTGTTTCATTAAGAATGATAGATAATACATTCATTGAAACGAATATAACTTTCAAATAAGTTTGTCGGCACGACACGAGCGCCACCTACTGTCATTTAATTGTACTATGCCTATAACCTTCACGGAAGTGCAAGCAATAAGTTGATAAAGTTTTAGCGCAATCTTATGAACGGCATGGCAGTCCATAAAATACGAACAAATAAAAAATATTTTTTATATATTAGATAAAATATATTATATATTTAAAGTATAAATATGTAACAAATTAACATTTGCTAAATTGTTATGTAATTATTTATTTTTATGTAATTTTCATTAATTTTTACTTATTTTGCAATTTAGGATGATATGCTTTATATACAAATATTTGTGTAATTATGAGTATGTATATTTAGTACTTTGACGGCGATGAGACGGGAGATGAAGCTACATTCTTCAACAGACTTGACAGCATACAGGCATCTGAACAGACAGATCTCCAAATGCATGCGGCGGGACTTACGCAACTTCAATACAGCTCGTATTGAAGAAGCGATCGAGCGGAACCAAGGCTCCAAAGTCTTTGCCAGAGATCTGTCTGCCAGAAAGAGCCAACTGTCAAAGCTGAAGACAAAATGTAGCAGCATCGTTTCCGGCACACCTGAGATTTTGAATGAGATTGAGAGGTTCTATGGGCAGTTGTACACGTCATCGTTGGAGCCACACGCAAGTGTGAGTAACGATCCAAGAGCGAGTCTCATCCGACACTATTCCGAAGATATCCCGGACGTCAGTCTGAGCGAGATTAGAATGGCTCTCCAGCACCTTAAAAACGGTAAGGCCCCAGGCGAGGATGGAATTACAGAGGAGCTTCTGAAAGCGGGTGGAAAACCGGTACTTGAAGTCCTTCAGAAGCTCTTTAATTCCGTCCTCCATGGTGGCATTACACCGGAGGCGTGGAGCAGAAGTGCGGTGGTCTTGTTCTTCAAGAAAGGTGACAACGCTCTCTTGAAGAACTACAGACCGATTTCCCTTCTGAGCCGCGTCTACGTGCTGTTTTCGAGAGTCATTACGAATCGTCTCGCGCGCAGACTTGACGACTTCCAGCCTCCCGAACAAGTCGGTTTCCGAAAGGGCTTTAGCACCATAGACCACATACATACCCTTCGGCAAATTGTACAGAAGTCCGAAGAGTACAATTTGCCACTATGTCTGGCGTATGTGGACTATGAGAAAGCCTTTGATTCCGTCGAAATTTGGGCGGTGCTGCAGTCCCTTCAGCGGTGCCAAGTTGACTGTCGGTATATCGTAGTGTTGAAGTGCTTGTACAGTAGGGCTACGATGGCTATCTGAGTACAGAACCAGAGTACGAAACCTATCCAACTGCAGAGAGGTGTAAGACAGGGTGACGTCATATCCCCGAAACACTTCACCGCTGCATTGGAAGACGTTTTCAAGCTACTGGACTGGAAAGGATACGGTATCAACATAAATTGCGAGTACATCACTCACCTTCGATTTGCCGACGATATAGTCCTTATGGCAGAATCGCTGGAGGACCTAAGCACTATGCTCAATGACCTCAATAGTGTTTCCCAACGGATAGGTCTTAAGATGAACATGGACAAAACAAAGATCATGTTTAATGTCCATGTCACACCTATGCCGGTAGTTGTTGGGAACACTAAGCTCGAAGTTGTTGACGAGTATGTTTACCTGGGACAAATAGTCCCACTAGGTAAGTCCAACTTCGACCGAGAGGTCAATCGACGGATTCAACTCGGCTGGGCAGCGTTCGGGAAGCTAAGACACATCTTCTCGTCAGACATACCTCAAAACCTTAAAACGAAATTGTACAACCAGTGCGTGTTGCCAGTGATGACTTACGGAACTGAGACGTGGTCCTTCACTGCTGGCCGGATGAGAAAGCTCAAGGTCGCTCAGCGAGCTATGGAGAGGGCTAAGCTCGGAGTTTCTTTGCGTGATAAACTTAGGAATGAGGATATCCGCAGTAGAACCAGAGTAACCGACATAGCCCAACGGATTAGTAAGCTGAAGTGGCAGTGGGCCGGCCATATAGCTCGAAGAACCGACAACCGATGGGGAAGAAAGGTTCTCGAGTGGCGGCCTCGTACCGGTAGGCGAAGTGTAGGGCGTCCCCCCACGAGATGGAGTGATGACCTGGTAAGACATGCAGGAAGTCGATGGATGCGGGTGGCTCAGGACCGTGCTTTGTGGCATTCTTTGGGGGATGCCTATGTTCAGCAGTGGACTTGTGAAGGGCTGTAATGATGATGATGATGATATTTAGTACTTTAGTAAATGTTTTATGCAGTGATATGAATATGAGTTTACCTAAATATCCTATTTGTAAATAAAATATCTAAATAATAATGTTTTATTTTTAACTTAAGGGGGAAGCTCTAGGGTGGTCGCGAAATTTAAATTTTTTTACGTTTTTTGGACTTTGCAGGTCAGGGTCAGGTTGAATGTTTAACAAAATATGATTCGCAACCGTAACGAGTATGTGTTTACAGAATTATAATCATTATAATCATCAATACAACCCCCTAAGTTTGTATAATCCTATTGTATGGCTATATCCAGAAAAACTCATTCAAAGGAATTATATGAACTTGGAGGGTTGTTTTGGTGATTTTAATGATGATAATTCTGTAAACACATACTCGTTACGGTTGCGAATCATATTTTATTAAACATACAACCTGACACTGACCTACAAATTGCAATAAACGTAAGAAAATTTGAATTTCGCGGGCCACCCTGGAGCTTTCACCTTAAGTTTATTTCACTTTAAAAGTCTTACCATATACGTTCAAGCGTGCTGCGTGAGCTACAGATCCGTGGCTATTCGTAGCGCGGCACTCGTACCGACCCCCGTGTTCAACCCTAGCGCTGCTCAGTGATAGCGTGGATAGAATGTAGTTGTTACTGGAACCTATTCCAGCCGGCCCACTTTCATGGCCTTCACTGATAACAGCTCTGGAAAGAAAATTATATTAGTATACAGAAATTATAGGAAACATGGATGTACCTGCGATTTGATTTGCCCTCATTATGGCCATATTTGCAGAATAATTATAAGTTAGATTAACAAGTGGTAAAATAAAAAAAAATGTATAACTGACTTCAATTAAATGAGAACATCAGCAATGTAGTCAAAATCAAATAAATACGCATTATTAAGGATAACTCAATAGCCACTGGTCAGAGCTTGATCAAATTTAAATGGGATCACGTGATAAGTACCAGCGTTCAAATAAAAAAAAAAGAACTATAAAAACTCGATTCATCCAGAAGAAAGTTCTAAGGTAACACACATAAAAATACAGTCGAGAACATCCTCCTTTTTTTGAAGTCGTTTGAAATTATAAATTATCTAAATATAAATTATTTAAGCATCGAATGAAATTGGTTTGGAGACTACATGATAATTTTTAGTAGAGTTTTGCAGGATGATAAAAAAACATTAACGTACGCCACGCCTCGCATCTCACACAGTATATGTACATCATTTTAAAAACAGTAGAATCGGACTCTATGGACCTGAACACGTGGTGATACGTTTAAACTTGAACTTTATATTATTGGAGCGATTATAACAACTCTCAAATGAACAGTTAATAAGACAAAAATAGTTCATTATGATTTTTTAAAATTTAATATAAGCCTTTGCTTGACTACAATCCCACCTAGTGTCAAGCGGTGAAGAAGCCTTAGATGGTATATCACACTATCTTAGTGTAACAAAAGCCTATTCAATTTAACTTTGAAGACACTGATATTGTAATGAGACGGA